AGGTTGAGCCGGCTCATTCGTGCCGAAGCATGGCTCTCCCACGGCTGACTTATCAGTGAATAGAACTGGAAACTCCCAAGCATCTAACTACACATTGCAGAGTTTTAATTATAAAACATACTGAACAGTTTTCATTTAGCTAATATTGTTTCGGATTTAATAATAATAATTTGATATATCTCACACATGACCGTCTAATCCCTAACTAGACAGAACCTGTGCCATGATAATCAGGTTGCTGATAAACACATAAGTATATACATTTCATAGATAAATTATAACCAGACACAGAACAAATGTTCGTACATATCACACTATTATTTAGCCTTAGCAGTCAGGTAAAATGAAATAACGCTTTATTAATTTCTATGCAATAGCTGTTTAAAATTTTCACGATATTTAATTGGGAACTAAACGTATTATATTTTCGTAAACGACTTTATAGACAGCTTTACAGTAGTGATTAGTATTGTGTGAGCGATTACCAGTGACACAGTTAAATTTAGAAAAAATATATTCATCAACAGCCTAAAACAGTCCATTACTGGAGCTAGGCCTCTCCTTAGAAAGGAGGTTTTGGCCTACTATACTACGTTGACCAGACGGCTTCGTATAGGGTTTCTTTGAGATACCACAGTATCACAGAAAACTGGCTTTGAGTGTTCGACGGGTCTGTTGGTCTAGTGGTTAGTGACACTGACTGCTAAGAGGTCGTGGGTTCGATGGCCACCTAGGACAAATAATTGTGAGATGAGTACGATAAGTTGTTCCTGTATCTGGGTTTGATTTATTTATAGTAAAAAAACAAAAATATATTTCAGGTATTAATATTTATTTATTTTACTTCTTCCTGCACTTATGTACATCGACGGACCTAATGCCCTGGGTATTCTCTACAAGCCAAACTTTAGGTGATCTAGAAATCTTGTAGGGTATTATCCATATCAGTATAGTACAAAAAAATAAACAAAGAAACAAAATGATAATTAGGAACATTCGTTTAATAAAATATATTTAACGAAGTTTATTGATAGGAATATCATTTTATATACTCACCAAACAGCATTCACATTGCTTATGGAAATTCACAAAATTCAAGGATAAAAAATATAAACGCACCTAGAAAAAGTACAAAACGAAATCGGTAACTCGTTGTTCTGAGGTAATAAAGCCGTTCAGTAGCTAACAGTAATAAAAGTGTTCAGTTCGAAGAAATATAATGTAATAATCTCTGATTGTGATGGGCCTGTTGGTCTAGAAGTGAGCTGGTGACGCTACAGGTTGGAAGTTTCATTCATGACTAGTACAAATGATAGTGTGATGAGCACGATCATTTAAAAAACTTTAACTTTCCGCCATCGTTCCACTCGGCAACATTTTCATTCCAATCACCTGGATAGTTGGCGCTCCACTACTGTGCACTTTTCGAGACACTTTTTGCCCCGCACAACCAATCTGTGGAACGGGTTATCGTCTGCGGTATTTCCGGATCGATAAGACCTTCAAAACTTCAAGGAAAGAACGTATTCTTCCCTAAAAGGCCGGCAACGCGTTTGTGACTCCTGAGCTGCTGACGTTTATTGGCGACGATGGTCACTTTGCATCAGGTGACCCGTCTGCTCGCCTGCCCCCACTAACATAAAAAAAATATCGTTCTATGTCATGGTGTAAATTATCCATACTATTTTAAAAAATACGGTTATCAGTATTCGGGTTAATATAGCACAAGTTCAAACTATTTAGGGATCGGACGGGTGATGAGTCAAGTTACATTTTGTAATTGTTAGTACTGTAAATTCTATTAGAACAAAAAAAAACTCATTAACCCATGCCTTTCATCTTTGGTGGCCTCTTAAGCTACAGTCAGAGAGCTTACAAACAAACGGTGAAAAACATTTTCATCTTATCAGTATCAATATTTTCACATCACACATCATCACATCAAGATCATCTAAAAGTAAACTGTTGGACACAGGCCTCTCCTTAGAAAGGAGGTTTTAGCCTGCTATACCACGCTGACCAGACGGCTTCGTATAGGGTTTCTTTCAAGTTTTCCTTGTCTTTGCGGTGTTTTGTCCTGCGTAGTTTGCTCCCTTAGTCGGCTCTTACGACACCCACGAAATGGATAGGGGTGGTGATACTCCGTATTCTTAATCCATCACCACACGGACATGTTCAATGAAAGGTCAATATTTTACTCCTTCCTATCTTATACTCATATGTGATATAATGTTTTATTTTATCGAATAGGGGGCAAACGAGCTGAAGGGTCACGTGATGGTAAGTGGCTACCGCCGCCCATTGTCGCATGCAACTTATGAGACACAAGTAAGTTGTGGCCCTTTGAGTACTCACTTACTCTGGAAGTAAGGGAGGGGTTTGGACTCCGGAGACCACACTCACTCCGTAGAAAGAAGAGAAAGAATTACTGTTTAACACAAGTTTTCTGAGGGCGTGGTATCAGCAGGCTCATACTCACCTACGGTAAAATGTATGAAAACCTATTTTTATACTATTTGATTTAAATGGGAAGAAGGATAAAATAAATAACTCAAAAATACATCATACCTAATCAATTCTTGATGTGTAGTTCCTGTATCTGGGTGTAATTTATTTATAATACAAAATAATATATAAATAAATCAATTTTATTTCAGGTATTATTATTTATTTATTTTACATCTTCCTGCACTTATGTACATCGACGGACCTAATGCCCTGGCATTCCCTACCAGCCAACCTTTAGGTGGTGTAGAAATCTTGTAGGGTAGGTGCACCGAGGTTACAATTTACTCACAAAATTACTTATCAGAAGTATTGCCAACTCCTTTTTAACAACATTCAGTCAGACAATATGACCTCGGTTATATTTTGAAGAATTGTTTACTTTTCAAAAAAAAATCGAATTGTCACAAACCAGTTAAACATTAAGTGCTACAATTTAATTAAAATTATGTTGAGTATCCTATAAATAGTTTAAGTTATAAAAGTTAAATACATTTAATGTAATTGTTGTAAGAGTTAAAAATTTAGTTGACTGTAAACATTAATTGACAAATAATCTTTATATTATTATATTATCATGATTCATCAAAGCCTAGTTTTCTAACTACGGGCTTGATAAATAAGACCAGAGTCTAGATTACTGACTTCGCTCAACGGATCAGCAAGTTCGAAATGTCATTTCTAACTTGCATAGCTCGCGGAACGAATTGCCGATGAAGCTACGAAAGTGAATAGGGGAAACATGAATTACGGCGGAGCGGGACCGGGAGAACGGCGGAGCGGGACCGGGAGAGCTTTAGGACTCTCCCGGCCCGCCAGGCCCGGGAACGGCGACTCGGCGCCGGAGGTCGCAGAACGACCTCCGTCCTCCATAAGCGCAGGCCTGGGGGTGACAGATGAGGCCATCTGTCACCCTAGCAGAAGCAGGCCGGGGTGGCGGCGAGCACAGGGAACATGGGGTTCACACACGGTGGGGGGTCGTCTACTCGTCTGTAGATGACCCGAGGTATGTCGGGGCACCAGGGACTTCCTTTCTAGGGTATACCTGGTTCCCCGGCTATTAGTACCCGAGACGGCGTGCGGTTTTAGTCGGTTCGAGTCCGACATGCCACCGACAGGTGGTATCCGAGGGGATTTCCGCACGGAAAAAAAAAGGGGAAACATGAACGATTTCTGGTCAATTGTGGCGGTCCTTTGGCTAGAATGATGTACTTAAGTACAATTGACGTCTTTATCCTTTAACTTTCCATAGCTACAGTTATGATTTTAGAAGAAATATTTCTGTCTGAATTTGAACTTCCTATTCTGTTAAATAAACACTAGGATAATTGCATAAGGACTGCACGGATGGCGTTGTGGTTTATGCGGTCACCTCGCCGCTTCCTACTGCGCTGAGTGTTGGGGGTTCGATCCCCACATGGTACAACACTTTGTGTGATCCACAAATTGTTGTTCTGAGTCTGGGTGTCCTTTGTGTCCGTTTCATCTATGTTTGTAAAGTCACCCGCGGCACAGGATTTGTTCCTGGTGAGGGCGTTGTCTTAAAAAATATGATATTACAGATTATTCATACTTCCATAGTTATATTATAAATGTAAAAGTGAGTTGGTTTGTTTGTTACGCTTTCACGCCTTAACCGCAAAAACGATTTTAAAAATTCTTTCACCAATGGAAAGCTACAAAATCAGTAACATAGGGTACTTTTTACCTTGATAACCGACATATACGCGGTAAACATAGAACGTACTTCAACGATTATCTGGATACGACCTTCAAACCTTTGGCCGGCGCCTGCGCATCGTGCGTCATAGCGGGCGTGCGTCACAGCGGGCAGTGTCCGTGTTGCGGTAGCAAGTAAGGGTCGTTCGATCTTCCCGCTACACCTTCAAGAAAAGAGTGTCCTTTGTGACTCCTGAGTTGCAGGCGACCTCAGGCGACCCGTCTGCATCCTCTTCCACAAAAAAGTCTAGCAATGCGATTTTTCGAAAACTTGCTTAAATATTAATAACAGGCGCTTATGAATATTTTTTTATCTCAAGAGCATCCTGAAAAAATAATAATTATCTAGCTGTTTGTATTGTAACCTTGTTAAATGCCAAAGAAGAAATTTTATCCTGACCAAATTCCCACATAATATCGTTGTGCAGTTAAAAAATGTTATGTTATATCTAATTTTACAAAACGGGCCACAAGTGCTATACAACTCCTCCTTCCTTGATTCTCTTTCTTTCTTTCTCTCATTTAATTATTGGGGTATTTACCCCAGCGCAAATAGTGTACTAGCTGTGTCCATAACACTACATACTTTTGCCATAGATTAATGGGTCGTAAAGTTGTACTAAACACAATATATTCTTATGACACAAAACAAATTGCTGCATTTAGTTTTCCTCCCGAATTGGCCCCTTATTTAAAATACGCTTCTATGCTTACTATTTATTGCATAACAGTACTAATTGTAATCATAACAGCTGCTTGCCTTTTAACTGTTCCAGATGACGAGTACGCAAAATTTCCGCGTCTGTATCACCTGGATGATTACACCAGTTGTCTCTCACAAACAAATGGATTGTACTGCCTTGGTACCTTCCAGATATCGCCTCTCAAAGAGCCTGATCCTACGTATAATTTGATTAAGGTAATTGCATACTTATGTAGACAGCATTCAGAAAACCGATATTTAGATAAAAACTGATAGGAGTGCTATTCAACTAGCCGAGATTTGCAGCGTTCGTGTTAATGGTCAAGGTATGGCATGAAAATAGATGGGTATCCCTAAAATACACGCTTATCGTGTGTGAATCTTTATTTAAGAGACGACTACAGTCTGTGGAGTCTTCTAATAAAAAACCAAAAAAAACTCTTTTTTGTCCTCTTTTCTTTTCTTTTACTCGTAGTTTGTAAATTAAAAAAACATTCACCGTTAAAAGTGTTTACTTATGTCTGAGCAGTATACATTACGAAAAACTTCTTGCCCTGATTCTAGGAGAGAAACTCAAAAGACGGCAACGCAAATGTGACTCGTTGAGTTCTTTGAGTTAATTTGAGACATTTCACAACTTTGTACGGTTGAAAAACTGAGCTGCGATACTTGTTTATTTTTTTTTAAATATGTCATTCGTATATAATTCGTGAATATTATCGTGGACTCCTGTGAGAATCAAACTCAATACCTACCCGGAGCTAAGTTACACAGTAATAACACAAAACTAGCTATCCGGGTAGTCTAGTCTTAAACCCTGTCTCCGCTTGCCACGATAAGGTCAGGGCTATCAGAGTATACGTACCGGCCTCATTATATTTTATGATTTCCTTGTAAATGATTTTATTATTCCACTGCGTTTTAACATAATGTATATAAAATTATCACAGGCCCTATAAAAAAGGAATTGTTACTTGCGCAATAAGCGGTGCCACGATTTCAACTTCTTTTTCTTTGATTCCAACACACGATTGCCCCACCTTTAATAGTTTCCACACACGCAATAAAAAGAATATTCACGTAATTAAACAAATTATGGCCTATTTACTACTAATAGAAGTATTTTTGCTTGTGAAAACTTTCATACATGATACCTGATCTATATCGACTGGGTTCTAAGTTGAGTCGACTAAAACCATAAGTTACCCTACCATCCATCCAGCAACCGTAATTTACCCTAATACACATACATTTTCAGGAGTATTCCCAAGATCCTCACCACTTCAATCGTACAGAACTTCACCGTGGTTATTGCCTGAGTTCGCGATGCCCTGCGCTTGCCACCGAACGGAACACATCCCTTCGTTTCGAGCTCTGTGCAGCTCATTGGGGGCGTCGACGTTCTTTACGTACAGAATTATCAAAGCTGAGTTACTGTCGAACGCATGCGCAGGAGTACTCGCGGATACACAATCCTGAACCTCTTGATGTATCACAGAGAGTGTTTCTGTTCGTTTTTGCAGCATTGGTATTGTTGAACATTATTGGAACAACATACGATGTGTTGATGGGAGTTAACGCTAAAAGTAAGTTGATCTTTGCAATGATTATAAACTTAATAAGGTTTGGTAAAATTATTTTTAATATACCTATAATTAGTTCATATAATACCATTGAAAATAAAACTGACTAGAATATACCAACACGGTATTAATTTATTTACAATTTCTACAAAAACTCGTACATCGTATGCAGCGGATTACAAATACTTCAAATTTACCAAGTGCCGTGTCTTTGGTTGTCTAATTGGTTGGGTGGTCTCCGAAACCATTTTCACTGGATCGTAAGTCCGGTGGTTTAGCCATGTTGTTATAATTAAGTAAAAAGTACCGGTTTCAGTGCGTCTAAATCATAATAAATTGTATTCTTCACTCCTAAATTTCCACTCTTAGAGTTAGAATATTTTCTTCAATATTATATTTTAAAAAATAATGTTTTTTTTTTAAATTCAGAGAACCTTTTTTTAACGGCATGGTCTGTTCGTGGCAACTGGCAGCGGTTGACGGCCTCCTATGAGGATGGGGACCCAAGGCTCTCCGCGCTGGCACCTGTCCAAGGAATGCGGTACTATATTCATCTTATTTTGTTTTATGCTTAATGTCGTAAGTGAGTTTTAAATCAACTGAAAAACTTTAAATGACACCTCTTTCTTGTCAAGGGCTTTAAAAAAGTTTTAAAACGTTTTTAAAGTACACAAGCAACCTGAATCTTCTAGAACATTAGAAAAAGTTTAGTTTTTCAAGTGAAAACTTCTTTAGCGGCGTTTTACACATTTTTTGTAATGGGCAAAAAATGTTAAACTCGCGTCAGGACACGTGACCTGATCAAAAAATTCGTAAGACGTTCGTTTAGGCGGCGCAGGGCGCTTGCGCAAATGTTCGTGTGTGTCAAAAATGCACAACGTTAATATTCAAGTTTTCACTTCTACCGGCACTCCCGGAGTGCAACCCGTCGTTTTTTTTAGCGTAATCAAGAATGCCTTTAGACATCGTCTTAACATTGCAAGTTTGAATTGGTCACTGTTCCATATTTAAAACGCTTGTGTTTTATTCCAGAGTACTCCTCATGGTCTTGATCATAGCCACACACAGCGCCTGCATCCACGATATGTTGTATCTCTATAACCCTAGATGGATTGAGCAGGTAAGTGTTTTACCTGCTAGCAATATTTGAAACTACAGGTTTATTACAATTAATTTATAGTAAAGGTTTAGAGAACTGCACTTAGTAATTGCACCGGTCACCACGCCATTTACTACTTCGCTGAGTGTTGTGGGTTCGATTCCCACAAGGGACGACAATTTGTGTGATCCACAAATTGTTGTTCTGAGTATAGGTGTTCTTTGTGTTCGTATCATTTATGTTTGTAAAGTCCCACGCGACACAGGATATATTCCTATTGCGGGAGTTGTCTTTTTAAAAGAAGAAAAGAAAAAAGATGAACTGCCATTCTCATACGAGTATAGTGTCCTACCACTTTTTGAAGAAAAGACTATTAAAACCTGTTATTTGTCACCTCTTGAAGGTCCTGAGATAGTCGGAAAGGAATTGAAAAAGTCCAGTTAACATTCAATAGTTGTGCTTGAGGGAAATTAATTAAAAGGACATATTGGACTCCTATATATTGTTTTTTAAACTCTGAATAATAAAACTAACTAATTTCCAGATTTCCAGGCACCCAGTATTGATGATTTTCCTGAACGGCACTTCAGTGGTGCAGGTGTTCGTGATGCTGTCCAATTTCCTTCTCGCCTATAACATGCTTCTCTTCGCAAAATCTAATAAACTATCCTTCAAGATGTTGCCATTAATCAGTCTTAAAAGAATCACAAGGTAGGTAATTATTTAAAATAATAATAAAATCTATCTTATATCTAAAATCTAATATCCGTATTAAGGTTGTCTGTAAAAGATCGCCGATAAGACTGCCGATTGTTACGTCTATATATTTGTAAGTTTATTATGTGTGTAAAAATCGTGAAATCTTAGACATCTTCTCAAACAGTCTTCGAAAATTTTAAAGCAAAGTTATTGCGTCATTTGGACCTTCTTAGACCACTTTAAATGCATCACTGTCTCTAATTAATTTAGATTATATTCTGTATGTTTTGTATATTATATATATTGCATTGAATAATCTTAGATGTAACTGTCCCTTACCATGCCGTGGCAACTTGTAAGTAAGACAACACTCAGCAAATATTTGTAAAACATGTTTGTAAACTATGTATTAGTGTATGTTTTGTAAGTTGTCTTAAATAAATAAATAAATGTGTTAACTGTAAACAATAAAGATATAAATAAAATAAAATAAGATACAATTTTACGGCCAGCCGCCTATCGATAATAAAGCTAGTCGTTACTCTCAGGTCAAAGTTTAAAAGGACCTAGACGCTCCTCAAATTCTATCTTTGACCTGTTGTGTTGTCGATATCTTTTACTGACTAGTCACTTCTACACTTAATGAGGACATGATGTACGCGTACGTACGCGCACGTACGTACGTATCTTTCGCTAAAGCTTCAACCATAGTGACCACGGTTATGAGCTGCAGGTTACCCATAGTTATAGGCAGTACAAGGCCCTAGTACCGATGATTTTGCAGTAAGTTGGTTCAATACTTTCTCGTTCTTAAACACCTTGAGTCCCGAACCAATACCGTAACTAATTTACATGATAGTGCTGAATGTATCCTACTTATGTTGTATATTACAGAATATCGCCAGTACACTTGTTAGTGGTGGGTTATGCGGCGACATGGTGGCCTCGTGCTAACTCGGGCCCGATGTGGCCAGCGACTGTGAACGTTGAGAGCGAAGCCTGTCGTCAAAAGTTCTGGACACATGTATTCTATGTCAATAATCTCATAGATCCTGAGAATGTTTGCCTGATTCAGACCTGGTGAGTAAGAAAAAAAAAATCATTGAAAAGTCCGAAAGAAAATCAATCTTTGTTTGGCCTCGCCTCCTCCCGCTACACGGGGTCGGCTTTTCTAATCATGCGACGCCACGTGGTCCATCGCTGTGCGTCCTCTTCCCTCAGACCAGATCCTTTATGTCCCTCTGGACATTCGGCAGCCAGGTGGTCTGAAGTCTTCCTCTTCTCCTCTTTATAGTAGCCATATAAAGGCACTTTCTCACGACACGATCCTCGGTTCTACTCATTACGTGACCATCTGGTACCATCTGGGCCTGGACTCGCTCACTTACTCCCCCTGATGTACTCATTGCGAAAGTTGTTATTGAGTGTGACTCCTCCTGCCCATCGTAGCATACGCATTTCCGTTGTGTGGAAGTTTTGCTCATGCGTCTTTTTTAATGCCCAGGTTTCGGTACCATAAAGTAGCGCAGGTCTAAGCCATCTTATAAACCTTGCCCTTAGTTGTTATTGGCATTTAAGTGTCACACGAGATTCCAGTCAAGGTACGCCACTTATTCCACCCTGCCGTTGTCCTATCAGTTACTTCCGCTTCAATTGATAATAAGAAAAGCAAATTAGAATAAGCTGTAAATTAAAAGAAAATTACAAAGTAATAAGCTTCCGAGCCATTAAAAGTTAACTACGTATAATCAAAGTCAAAATACACACACTACACAAATCATTTATTATTTTTTGTTATAGGCAATACTATAGCATTTAATGTACAGTACACATATGCAAGTATTTCTTGTTAAGAATTCTTATGTTACCAGGTTTCTGGCAGTAGATATGCAGCTCTACTTTGTAGCAGCTGTCCTCACACTCTGCCTTGCCTCGCTAAGACGACGAGCTCTACCGATCTTGGCCGCTCTGGTCGTGGCATCATCTGCTCTGAACGGAGTCCTGGCATATATCAACAACTGGCAGTCCCTTATGTTTTTCGCTTATCCAAGGTAGGTAAAGTACTAAAACAGTTGCCAATGATGTTTTTGGCGCGCACATTGCTAGTATAATGATATTGGACGAGTTTTTTTTGCACGATAATGGATCAAAAGAGTATAGATAAACTACGCTCATTAACTCAACACATATCACATCCAGGTATGCTTGATCCGTGTATTTATCCGTACAGTTACAAAGTGTTCACACCTACCCTCTTTTAATTGCCAATTGTGTATACCTTGGTTAGTAATTTGCATTAGTGTCACGCCGCTCGGGAAATGACTGTATCTCATTCAAAAGGTATTCTCATGTAAGTGAATGTGTAATTCTTTATGAGAATAAAGTTTAAATAACAAATAGTGGCCTGTTTTGGACGTACAATATTTCCTTTTTTCCATTTCTGGCAGCATAGGTAAACTTAACTTTATTTAGCTTAGCTTTATTTATTCTTCTAACCCCAACCTAGTTTGAGAAAAAGACTTAGAGAAAGAAGAAGAATCAGCATAGGGAAGCTTCATTACCTTTCTTCCTCTTCCGAACCTCCACAACCCAAGTACTAGGCGATATCGAAGTTCTGTAAATAAACTGTTGTCGGGACGTTTTAGGGATCTCACTACCCATGACGATTGCCACAGACGTTCTCATGCCACCGGGATGGACAGCTTAACGTGCTCTCCGAGGTACGGAGGGGTCTCAATATGTTAATAAATGGTCACCCATCCATAGAATGACCTGGCTAGGATTGCTTAACTTTGCAATGTTACTCACTTACTCAATTACCACTTAGCCCCGAAAGCTTCTATACCTAAACTAAATGATTAAAAATCCTGATGATTGGGTGCATTTTTTATTTTTTGATTATTAGGTAGGTTTTATTAATACTCTTATTAATTGCTGAAAATTTAACAGAAAATGAATGATGTCTTAAGTCGTCATTTTATACACGTCACTTAGCGTTACGTACAGATGTAGCTTCGCTCTGCATTCTCTATCGTATATACATATCATGGCGAGTGCTCCGAGGAATTGTTCGGACTAATACCGGCCGCAATGTTCCGCCATCATTCCACACGCCAAAATTTTCATTCCCACCACTTGGATAATTGGCGCTCCACCACTGTGCGCTTTTCAAGACACTTTTTGCCACGCACTACCACCCTGTGGAACAAATTATCGGCTGCGGTATTTCCGGACCGATACGACCTTCAAACCTTCAAGAAGAGAGCGTACTCCTTCCTAAAAGCTGGCAACGCGCTTGTGACTCCTGAGTTGCAGACGTTCATGGGCGGCGGTAGTAGTTTTCCATCAGGTGACCTTTCTGCTCGTTTGCCTCCTGTTCCTTAAAAAGAAGACGTTTTTACTGATTCGATGATTGTATTGGTTTGACGATTATTTTAACGGTCTGTAAAGAGAAACAATTTTGATTTGACAGTAATGTATTCACAAAATCCATGCCAATCGATGTTATCCAACTAGTTGTTCGGTTATTTATGAACTTAAAAATATCCACAGCACACTAAAAACAATGTACCGTGGCATTCCTTCGTTCACCCGACTGTACCAGTCACCCTGGGGGAGTCTGCCAGGGTGTCTCGTTGGGTTATTCGGTGCATTTCTGCACTTCGAAATGCAAGAGGCTTCAGTAAAACTTGCCTCGTATAGAGTAAGTAAGATTTTTAATTTTTAATTTTAATTTTATTTTTTTTAAAAGACAACTCCCGCATTTGGAATATATCCTGTGTCGCCGGGGACTTTACAAACATACGAGTACATGAAACGGACACAAAGAACACCCAGACTTAGAACAACAATTTGTGGATCACACAAAATGTCGTCCCATGTGGGGTTTGAACCCACAACACTCGGCGCAGTAAGAAGCGGCGTGACGACCACTTAAACCACTGCGCCACCCGTGCAGTTTAAATTAACGCGTCTAGGTTGCAATCAATCTAAAAGCTTTAAATTAGATGGTATTTTAGTCCAGTGGTTAGTCATCCAGAATGAAGCGAGAAGAGTCCAAGCCGAAAACTTCTGTAATCAGCTTTTGTTCTATGTCTAGACGTAATTAGACTGCACGGATGGCGTAGTGGTTTAAGCGGTCGCCACGCCGCTTCCTACTACGCCGAGTGTTGTGGGTTCAAACCCCACATGGGACGACACTTTGTGTGATCCACAAATTGTTGTTCTGAGTCTGGGTGTTCTTTGTGTCCGTTTCATGTATGTTTGTAAAGTCCCCCGCGACACAGGATTTATTCCTAATGCGGGAGTTATCTTTTTAAAAAAAAAAAAAAAAAATGTCAATAATACATAATTATGAATTAATTTAAAAATATGTATGTTTATTAACAGTCTGGCTACTACAGTAAAGGGCCAATTTAACTCCAGAGGGGCATGTGTCAGATGTATCAATATGCATTATATTAAAATCCTCAGTATTACTCCTAATTTTGTTCATTATATTAACAAAAGCGAGAGACGAAGAGAAGAGAAGATCGTACTCCTTCCTAAAAGCCCGCAACGTGTTTGTGACTCCTGAGTTGCAGACTTTCATGGGCGGCGATAGTTACTGTCCATCAGGGGCCCCGTCTGCTCGTCTGCCCCCTCTAATATAAAAAAATAAAAAACAAGAAGATTTAGGATTGCAAATGAATTATATCGTTATAATTTTCCAGTGGTTAAAACCCCCGTACTACATAGCCCCTGCAGCAATGGTCAGCTGGATGATTTCAGGGTACTACTTGAAGGAATACACGGACCCCTGGTTTGTCGCCACTTACGTAGCCATTGAACGACCTGCGCTCAGTATATTGGGAGGCTTGGTGGTCATCGGTATGGTAAATGGCCTTGAAGGTATGTCTTTAGTTTATTCATCATTGTCATCATTTTTCTGTTTTTTCCCAATTTTTATTGCAAAGTGTCTTGACTGGTTCCTTTTATGGCCAATCATGGGTCTAGTTATAACCCTACAACCTAGGAGGAGGATTATATTATTTTTCGTGTGTACATAATTTCTTTTTAACCAAACCCGTCTGGTAGTATAGTAGTAGTAGCGTGGTATAGTAGGCCAAAATCTTATTTCTAAGAAGATGCCAATGTCTTGCAGTGGTCTACTAAAGGCTGTTGAAGATATATCTATTTTTAGGTATATTTCTTTGGCACGCTCTATAGTGTTAAACATTAAAATCTCTCAAGCAGTTTAGGGCATGGATGTTGATGTTTATGGTGTCTTCGCTCTATCTTTAAGGTTGTCTTCGTTGTGAGAGTTACACTGTGTATATGAAAATTATAAAAATTAAAACCGCTGATTTGTAAATTTTAAGCATACATTTTAACGCAGTCAGGTTTTGTTTTTTTGTCAATAATTAGTCTGTTCGCTAAGATACTCGTGGTTTCAGGTTGGTTGAAGCATTTTTTAGCGTGGCGAGGCTGGTATGCCATGGGCCGCATGTCTCTGTCAGTGCTCGCCGTACACTGGTGCATCAACATGACCATCGCTGCTGCCAGAGCACAGCCTATTAGTTCCTCATTTCTATCTGTAGTAAGTACCCAGTTATAAAGATATTTGTACTATACATATTGAGGAGGATACTAAATCTTTTTTTCTTTCATTCTTTGAACCTTATAACTCGAAGTGCGTACGAAGTATTGACATGGATGCCAGCTCCAGGCCCTTAGACCCTAACATTGCCATTGTATGTAGTAAAATTATTAAGGAAAAATAGTTATATTTTTTTTTGTTTAGGTACGTGACACGATAACAACAGGATGGTTCTCATACATCGTTGCAATACCGTTGACCACTATGGTGGAAATGCCCGTCCAGAGGTTAGTTGCTGCTCTGTCCTTCTGAAGAACTGCCGTTGACATGCCTGACCACATACATATGTTTATATCCGATAAATCTATCAACTCATCTTCTTTCTTTTGTTATTTTGAAAATCTGTAATGAGGAGAATTCTTTGTAGTTCCTAGTGGAGTAAATTTTGTGCAGAAATGATTTTTACAATACTTGGAATTTATATTAAAAGAAGTGTCGAAAGTTGTAAAAAGCTGCACTAATCAACAATATTCCAGTATATGTATATTTTGTCCTCTCATAGTACGAAAAAACTGTACAATGTTAGTTTATAGCCATACTATGATTATAAATATTTCGAAAAGAAACATCAAAAATATAATGAATTAGACTCAAACTTTGTTTAAATAAACCCTTTTAAAAAAAAAGTTGAACCGACTTCAAAAAACACCGACAAAGAGCACTAAAAATTAAAAAATAATTACAAATCTAAGTAAAAAACTATAATAAGTACCCTCAATGTAACAGGTAACATTACAATACCAATAGTCCCTTCTAGTCGGTTTGAAGTCGGTGCCAAGCCAAATAGGTGCTTGATAGAATGTAGCGCGGCAGCTGCAACAGTCTTCATGCTGCGCAAAACATGTTGAACGAGCTAAAGTGGACGCACATCTCCAATTATATTATTATTTTCAACGCTTTAATAAGGAGTTGATACGTTTGCGCACGTAATTGATCTGGTTGGTCTTTATTAATTAACAAAATCTTCGATGTTTCATTAGAATTATTTTGAATTCTTAATTTTTAATTGTGCTAATATAAAGCTGACATAGACCAGTATTACTTATTGTGCATCGAGCTTGGCACCGACTTCAAACAGACTAGAAGGGACTATTGGTATTGTAATGTTACCTGTTACATTGAGGGTACTTATTATAGTTTTTTACTTAGATTTGTAATTATTTTTTAATTTTTAGTGCTCTTTGTCGGTGTTTTTTGAAGTCGGTTCAACTTTTTTTTTTAAAAGGGTTTATTTTACCATTTTTAGTGTAGGATATGTTTGTAATGAGTAGATAAGTACGATATTTAAAACACTACGTACCGTAATGTATAGTAACAAACTGTAGTTTGTTAGATTATATTAAATATTATATTAAATTACTGCTGGACATAGGCCTCTCCTACATTGGCGTCTAAACTGATCAAGATCAGCTTAAATTCTTTTCTAAGAAACAGTCAAATTCTTGTGAGTTGCAACCGAACAAAATAACTTCCGATTCAATTGACACTGATCTCGAAGGTGAAGATAGGGAAGCTTTAGTGAGACTACTCAACAAATATGCTCAATATTTTATAGAAGGAATTCCAACTAGAAGGGTTAATACTGGTATGTTAGAAATTAACCTAGTTGACTCACACAAAATTTAAGAGTTTTTTCCAGAACTATTTTAATAAATTAAGTACAAAATTACTTACAAACGAAATGCGATGCCATCCATAGCAACAAAACGTCTATCCGAATTATTTTAACAAGATAAAATACAAAATTTCAACCTTTTCTTCTTATTAATACAACGAAAATTACTGTGGTGACATAAATACTGTAAGTTCTCTGCGCATCACATCGCGCAGTCTCTGACGGTTGCCATGGTTTTAAAGAAATACTCGTAGCTAAAACACGTTATCGCGGCTGTCAAATTCCCAATAATTGTGAGGGTTTCCCTCGATTTCTCTAGGATCCCATCATCAGATCCTGAATTGGTGGTAATGAGACCAATTCGGGAGCATACCCTTTCGATTACAAAAAGAATTTTGAAAATCGGTCCACAATTGACGGAGAAATCGCGTAACAAACATACATAAAAAAAAATACAGACGAATTGAGAACCTCCTCTTTTGTGTTTTAGAAGTCGGTTAAAAAGAAAACATACTGTCGAATCAAAAACCCTCCTTTTTTGATGTTGGTTAAAAATCGACTAGCATGAAGCTCCTAGTCGAGACGAATCAAATGAGCACAAACACGGCGGAATTGCTTTATTTTATTACAGAGTTCCCATGGCTATTTACCGTCTCCATCATCAGACCCTGAATATCACATAGGATCGGAGTCCTTATTAATTAGACTCAAACACATTCAAATTCGATGGTATTACATAATTTTGTTACAGAGATCCCATACTCCTAAACCATTCATCATCAGCTTCATCATTAGCTCAGCAACATCAGATGGTGACCATTAGATGCAAAAATCTACATAGATTAAGATAATTTCTGATAAACAGTGTATATGCCTACAAAATTTGAGGGTTTCCCTCGATTTCCCCAGGATCCCATCATCAGATCCTGACCTGGTGACAATGGGACCCCCTCTGACGTATGACCTACCAAATAAAAAAAGAATTATTCAAATCGGTTTATAATTGCCGGAGTAATCGCGTAACAAATATACAAAAAAAAAAAAAAAAAAAAAAAATACAGTCGAATTGAGAACCTCCTCCTTTTTTTGAAGTCGGTTAAAAAAAATCTTCTATGATCTTCTTCTAATTGAAGATAGTAATAATTCTTGGATAACTGAGAATAGAAGCTACAACCAAATCGAACTGCAGGTATACGACTTTGGCATTCTTAAGCTGATTACTTTTCAATTCATTCGTTAAACCAATATCTTTTGATGCAATTTTTATCCAACTTTCGATTTAACGATGCTAATTAAATAAATGCTAAATTTGCCCATTTATTTCCCAAAGGGCTCAGTTGGCAGTTATGGGCTTGCCTCCTTATACATAAAAGGAGGCAAGCCCATAACCGCCAACTGTATATAAACGGGAGTGTGTCGTTTATGTAAACGGGAGCAAATAACTGTTAATAGAAAGTAGGTATTAATACATTTCTGCCTACTCCTTCGGATTAATAGGCGGGACAATGTATGTGTGTTGTTATAAATTAGATGTTAAGCCTAATGGTATTTTGGTGGAGTTTCTCTGATTTTTCTGTAAATTTGAAAGTAACAAACAGACCACCGACTGTTTTATTTAGTGCACTGTCATTAATTGCTTTCTCCGTTTATCTAAAAGCTATTTAGTGATTAATTGTGAATAGTGTTCATATTTACTTGGAATAGTGTACTAGGGTATGTTTAAGAATGTATTTGTAAGAAGTAAATGTAAAATGTAAATAAGGAATGAGCCAAATAACATGTTTAATTGTGTTAGAAATATTAATGTAAAATAGAATAATGTAAATTGCTTAAATAGATTAAAACAATTTTTCAAAGCCCTTAGAGTTTTTCTTCTGTAGAGGTTTATTGGAAAGTTAGATCAAGGTAAACTGCCACCCAATATCTCTAACGGCATAATCATCCCTTTTGGCCCTGCTGTTAAGAACCTAGGCCTAACAATCGACTCCAAGCTTAGGTGGCAAACCCAGGTCACGAGCGTCAGCCAGAGAGTCACAGGTACGCTACGGGCCCTTTATTAGCTTAAGCATTTCCTCCCCTCTGAGACAAAAGCGATGCTTGTGCAGACCTTTATTGTCCCCCATCTTGAATTATGGTGATGTATGCTATTATGACCTGAATGCAGATGTACTCAATAAATATGAGCGCCTTCTGAATAACTGCATTCGATTCGTGTTCAATCTTCGCAAATATGACCATGTTTATTCCTTTCGTCTCGAATTGAACTGGCTCACTATTCGTCAGCGCCGTCAGCTGCGCACCCTAACCACTTTCTATTCCATTTTCAACTCACAAAATTTCCTTCTCCTACCTGACATCTTCATTCAAATTTCATCAAGCAATCCTCTTCTGCTATGCCCATCTTATACTTCTGCTTGTGTCCACTCCTCGTTTCTAATACAATCTTTACTCCGCTGGAACGCTCTCCCTCTCCAAATCTTGATAGAACCCCGCCGCCTCTCGTTCAAGATGAAAGTTCGAGCTCGCATTCTGGACAGCAGATTTATAGCAGATTTTACCTGATGATATTACTAAAAGTGATAGCTTGTATAAATTTAAAACAAAATTAGGAGATTACATTAGGATAAAGTACTGACTCTAATGAAGTTGTCTGTATATCTTTAGTTTTATATTACTGTAATAGTGTATTGTGATCACAGAGATACTTAACTAATTTATTGTGTTGTTACATTTTCTCATTATGTAAGTGAACTGTATTGTTCTTTTTATGAGAAATAAATGTCTCTAAACCGATTCATTACATGATACGTATGTATGTATATCTATCGCATTGTTTCTGTCTAACTTATCAATAATTTTCTTTTACTTTATCAATGTCTGGTGCATAACATCATGGTACGATAAATAGGAGTCGAGTATTAATGAAAAATGAGCGGATCAGATGGTTGGTAAATAAAATGAGTGTACATAACCAATGCAGGAAATATAGTACGTTATAATAATAATAATACTATAATATTCTATTACATTCACACAACGCCATCTAGTCCCAAACTAAGCAGAGCTTGTACTATGGGTAGTAGACAACTGATATAAATACATATATACTTTTTTTTTTTTTGTAAATACATACATATTATACATAGAAACACCCAGACCAAATCAAACATTAAATGTTCATGCACACAAATGTTTGACTTGAGCGGGAATCGAACCCGCGACCTTTGGAATAGCAGTCCGTTACACAAACCACTACGCCATTCGGTCGTCAAATGATGGTCGTTATGATGATTAAATATAAATAATATTAAATCATCGTCATCATTACCTAGTTTCTAATCCTGACTTATGCTCGTATGTGTATTTATATATTACTATGGGAACGATGGCGCAGGAGGGGACATTTAGGATTTTATTGCACAGATTATCCTTTTGAGTTTGTGGTTGTGTTTTTTTTTATATTTAAACTTTGAAGGCAAGTTTTATGATATTTTTGTGGGAATACAATAAAACATGATTATTACTGACATTAGCATCCTGACCTTTTCTTAATTTTATTTTTTGTCGACGCAATGTGCGACTGTACAGAATTTTGGCAGGTCTTTCATGGAAGGCCTATGTAACCCAACCGACTTAA